GTGTTCGCCACCATGCCCAGTCTCAATTGCCATCTCAGTGGGCCCCAGGGGTGGGACCCGGCACAGCAGGCCCAGGGATCAAAGCCCCAGCCTCTGTGCCTGCTTGTAGGTGCTTTAATCCACTGAGCTATTTTGCCACACCTTAAAAATCTTTAAAAAAATCTTTAAAAACATTTTTTATTAAAGTAATTCATACTTAAAAATTCAAACAATCAAATAATGTAACATAAAACATAAAAGTCCCTGAATCTCAGCCACCCACTGTATGCAATAAAATTTTGGTGTAAGATAATTTAATTGCTTCTAATTGAGATTGTTTGGGTTGTTTTCCTATATGAATTTTGAAGGGCAGAAATTGCTTCTCAACTTGCTTACTAAGGAGAATGGCTGTTCTCTGGCTTTTTGTAACTCTGCTTTTGTTGGGGAGATAAAGGCTTTTTGTTCTGAAATCCCGTGGGTGCAGTCTATCTTTGCCATTGTCATCCACATGCTGCGTAGGAGGGTCTTCCTGGGTGGCTTGGGGTCCCCTGGCCCTGCCTTGGAGGAGGTACCCCTGCCCCATTTTGGAGTCTGGAAGGGCCACACTGCTGATCTGGACCTTGCATGGAACCACCTTACAATACCACACAACTGAGTTCCCAGCACCATTATGGGTCCTTTTGTAACTGGATCTGGCACACTGGCTTTGTAAAGGGTCAGATCGTAGACATTTTGTGTTTTTTAGGCTGGATGGTTGCTGTACAACTGTTCAACCCTGCTTTGTGGAAAGCAGCCATGAAACATTTCAGGTTTGCACTTTATAATTTGTAAAAGTGTGTGTGGGAGCTGTTGGCCTGGAGCACAGACTTGTGAGGCAAACCAACATCAGACTGGCAGGACAGGGATTGGGACATGTGTCCACAGATGACCTTGCTGAGAAGATTGCTGAGGTGCTGATTGCACCTTCCTAACCAAACCAGCCTCTGCTTCTTTGGCCTCATGCTCTGTGTAACAGTCTTGTTCTTGTTTTGCAGCCAGAGCCCAAGCCTGGAGACCTGATTGAGATTTTCCGCCCTTTCTACAGACACTGGGCCGTCTACGTTGGCAATGGATATGTGGTCCACCTGGCCCCCCCAAGTAAGGACACCAGGGCTGGGAAGAGGGGGTGGGAAAGTGGAAGTAACAGTAGCCCCATCTTTCTCCTTCTCTCTGACTGGCAGTTTGTTCCTGAGTGGTACAAGCAGGTAATTTTGTGTGGGGCAGTAGTAGTCAAACTCTGCTCCTTGGAACCCCTTGTTCTTGTAGAAAGGCTGAGGCATTTTATGTACTATGGTTTTGTACGCGACAAATTCCCCTTGTAAGTAGAAGGTTCCTAGCAAGAGCACAGGTGCTTCTGCAGAGTTGGTTATGAATCCAGTTTTCACTCTAGACTTCTCTTTTCCCCTCCCCTCCCTTCCTCACCATCTGCCTCCCTCTCCCATTTCTGTCTTGCTTTGAGTCAAAGCCTCATTATGTAGCACAGGCTAGCCTTGATCTTATGATCCTTTTGCCTCAGCCTCTAGAGTGCTGGGTTATAGGTGTGCGTCACTGCATCCATTTTAGCCTTGATTTCTTTATTTGTAAGTTTGGGGAATTGTGAGAATTCCCTACCCTTGTCCTTATACTTTTTGTTAACAATGAAGTGTAACATAAAGTACACAAATATAGTAAAAATTGTACCCTAAGTGAATTTTAAAAAATTTATTCCTGTGACAATGTCCCAGACCAACATCCAGAACATTTCGGTACCCAGAAGCGCGTGCTTGCCTCCTCATTACCTCCCATGTTCCCAGCAGCCCATTCTAGCTTCTCTTGCCATGGAAGAGTATCGCGGTTCTAGAACCTCATGGAAGAGGAGTCACACAGTCCATGGTCTTTTGTGTCTGGCTTCTTTCATTCAACATTTTGCCCACAAGAGTCATTTTTGTTGTTGGGAGTGGCATTGTTCTGAGATTTTCCTTGCTGTGTATTTCCCTTGTGACTATACCACAGTGAGTTGCACGTTCTCCTTATATATTGGTTTTAGCTTCTGGTTGCTAAGAATAGAGCCGCTGGCCTCACCTTGTACTTACAGCTACATCAGAGGTAACCGAGTAGATGGCCTCCTCTCTACCCCCTAGCAACAAAACCCCTAGGCTTTTCATACACATAATTTATCTTTTCTTCTGTTAAAAGCAGAGAGCACCCTGCCCTGCCCTTAAAAGCTGGCCCTTAACTTGTGGGCCCAAGACTGGGGCCTGGTATTCCCTTTAGCACATATGCTTTTCTAATTCCCTGTCAGCTTCTGTATTGTCATCTTCTCCCCACCAACTAGAAACCCTGGGGATATCTCTCTATTGATAAAACACCATGCCTACAGGCCTCGTCCCAGCCCTCTGTGGCCTCCCTACTCCCCACTCTCTCTTCAGCATCCCCCCAAGTCTCTCTTTTGTACCCCTCCCTAGCTATCATGGTAACGAAGCACGTCTGACATCCTGACGAGGTGCAGGCCAGCACTGCGGTCTGATCACTGCCTACTTGACTCTGCAGCATTTCACACCAGCGACCTCTCTGCTTTTCACCTAGCACCTTTCTTCCTCTCCTGCTTGGGTCCTTCCTTCTTGCTATCCTGTGTGTTCCCCTGCTCCCTTCCCACTTCCCTGAATAGAATCAGCACCTCCATAACTCCCTTGGCTTTGAGGCTCCCCTGGATCTGAATACCTTCTCTTTGTTAGTGTCTCCTGGTCCTGTAGCTGCAGCCTCTGACTTGTATCACTTCCTTTTTCTATTTTTTATTTTTATTGGTGCTTGTCTGCAGTGCATAGAGATTACATTCCTGTATGGAGGTGATGCCGGCACATAACACACCTGAATTCTTTTTTTAATCTCTTCACACTCCTTTTTCTCTCTCCTCCCTCCACCTCTTGGTTGCCTTCCCTTTTGCAAAAGACTTATCTTCCTATTTTCTAATATCAATATCTTTCATTTTGCTCCTTATTTTTATGTGGCATTTGTGATATAAAAGAAAATGTGCTATTTAAGCCTGAGTGTCTGATTTGTTTCACTTAACATCATGGTCTCAAGGTGTATCCATTTTTTTTTACAAATGACTCACTTATCTTTTTTTATGGTAAAGTGTCATACTCCGTTGAGTATAAATACCCCATTTTCTTTATCCATCCACTTGTTGGCAGACATATGGGCTGCTTCCAAGATTTAGCTATTGTGATTGTGCTGCTGTAAACAAAGGTATACATGCATCTCTGTGGTATGTGTCTCCGTTGGCTTTTCAGTGTGGGATAAGATTCTGGTTGACAGAGAAACAACCATCTCTGCACTGTGGGCAGTGGGGCCCAGTGTGATGTAGCCTCTGCTTGTCTCTCTGGACCTCATCTTTTTCTTCTTTCATCCGAGGTCTTTACACTTCAGCCACACTTCCCTCGTGCCTGTCTTTCCAGGCTGTCATGCTCTTTGCCTTTGCTGTTCTTCCTGCTTGGCAAGAGCTTTCTTAGCTTTGAGCACAGCTATTTCTTCACCAGCAAAGTTTCCATATGGATGTTCTTTCCTGGCATGGCTGTTCCACCCTAAGCTCCTGGGCCACTTCCCGTGGTCCTCTGCACAGAGTGTTTCTGTACCCAGATATGCCTTACTTGTGTATCTGCTCCCTGTTGGTGGCCTCTTACCAGAGTGTGAGCTCCTTGAGGTGGACAGATGCATCTCAGGTCTTCAAGTGAGTGATGCTTTACCTGATAAAGGGAAAAGATGTCACTACTCACATCTAGTCACTTGAGTTTCCTGCGAACTTGTGGGATGGATGAGATCAGGAGAATTTACCTCCTGTTGCTGGGAACATTGTAGACTTAGAGTTGGAAGAAAGCTTAGCAGACAGTAATAACAGCTAACTGTTCATACTCGCCCTGTGTCACAGCCCAGTGAGAACTCCTTTAATCCTCTAAGCTCCCTGTATAGCAGGGACTGTGATTGACCCTATTCTGTAAGGAAATGGGGACTCAGAGAGTAAAGAACTTTCTAGGTGGGTCTTAAGCCCTGGCAGTCCAGCTATGGATTCTGTACCTTGAGACACGATGTTTTAGCCGTTCATCTGGGGAGGGAGTGGAGCTAAGGATAACATTGAAATCTGCCCAGGTGAGATTATATAATTGGACCAAGTAGTAGAATTCTTGTACACATTGGGTGAGATTGGAGGAAAAGGGGGAGCGGGAGGTGTGGTGGAGCCTACAGGCCTGCAGGGAGCTGCCAGGGGAGAACAGGCCAGTTGGATGTGTTGTCAGAGAGGAGTCTGTGTCTGGTGGAGGGAGTGCAAAAGAAGGACACAAAGTGGGAATATTATGGAATGTAAGGAATGACTGGACATGGGGCACCCTCAATCATTTACTCACCCTCCAGCAGTAAATTGTCTAAGTCCCGCAGAATACAGAAATCACAAGTGCCATTTATTGGCCAGCAAGAGCCATTGTCCAATTTGTACTGTGGCCATATGGTGCTGTAGAAGAATATTAGACATTAGGGCTTCAGATTTGGGTAGAGATGAAGAGTTTTTAGGTTAAGAGACAGGCTAGGGGTGAGGAAGAGAGAACAGAAGAAGGAAGGTTTCCCATGGAGAGCAGAGAGCGGTTTCTTATGAAAGCAGCAACAAGATCTACAGCAAACATCTCTAGTTGGGACTCAGGGCCATAATGGAACATAGGTGAGTGACCAAGGCAGTTGACCCTACAGTTGATCAACCACTAAGGGAGTCAGTCTTTCCAGGGATCTCTGTGACCAGTGCTGGGTTTAAAAGGCATGGAAAGTAGGGCAGTGGGCAGAGGGGTGGAAAGGCAGAAGAGGGGTGGGGAGAAGGTCTTACCTAGTGTGAAGCACCTTGGAGTGGTGGGAACTGCCTGGAGGACTAGAGCAAGATCTGGGGCCAATGTCACCAGGTGCTCTTGCTCTCAGTAGGATGAAAGACTTGAGACAGGGTGTAAGCTCCTCCAAGCAGGGGTTACCCTGTCCTAGGTTTCTGACACCAGTATATTATCAGTGGTGCATGAAAAACCATCTGGACACACAGGCTCTGTGTGAGCAAAAGACTGGATTTATTTTCTGAAATTGTGAATGATTTCAGCAGCTGGCCAGAGGAGAAGTTAAGTTTTTGTAAGGTTTGGGGAAGGGTTTATAATCCTGAGGAATCTGGGTGGAATTCAGAGTTCCCAGGATGGTCAAAGTTCCCAGGATAGTCAGTGCAGGTGTGTAGATAATTGTGGACTTTTGGGTTGCCAGGGAGAGTGTATGTCTTGTCCTATTTTGTCTTCATGGCCATTTGTTGTATTTGCTGAGCACAGCATGACCCTTTTGTGGTTTTTCTGTTGCTTGTGGATGGTGGCATATTAGCTGAGAGGTTCTCTCTCAGGTAGCATATGACACCTCTTTCTTAAGTTATCATGCTGTACAAGATGGCTGAGCTTGGAGGGCTGTCCAGGCTCTGCTGGCATTAGCTGTCACCCAAGACTGTCCTGGTCCTCCTGTTGAACCCAGACTCCTGCTTTTCAAGATCATTTCATTTCTTTTTCTGGTTTTTTTTTTTTTTTTTGGGAGGGCTGTCCAGGCTCTGCTGGCATTAGCTGTCACCCAAGACTGTCCTGGTCCTCCTGTTGAACCCAGACTCCTGCTTTTCAAGATCATTTCATTTCTTTTTCTGGTTTTTTTTTTTTTTTTGGTTGGGGTGGTACTGGAATCGACCTCAAGACTGCATGCTTGCTAGGTTCATTTCTGGATCTTTGTTACCCCTTCCTTAGCCTGTGGCCCTTGGCCAGGGCTGCCAGCATACCCATGGGACCTCCTGAGTGTCTTGTCTAGGGGAACAGCTCTGAGGTTTTGGTCTCTTTGTTCCCAAAAGGGTGGGGATTCCTCCTGAACCTCAGCTACTTTTCCTGTTGCCAGTAATTTTGTGAGATCAAGGGTGTTTAGTCCTGATGAAATCATGAAAAGTTCATATGGTTTGTTCTCACCAAAGATGAGTACATTTGTAGCTCATATTTGCATAATCAAGAAGGCTGCTTAGCTATCACAGGGTGCTAATTTCTCTTGGTTAAAAAAAGTCTCAATAAATTATAGATCTTTACTAGTCCTCATTTCAGAAAGGATACTAGAGCTCAGAGACTACAAATGCCACCAGGGTTTGAGGGCTACCCCTTTCCATATCTTGGTTATGCCCTGTGCATGGTGCCAAGAATGGATGCCCAGGTGGGGGCCAGTTCTGAGCCCCTGTGGCCTACCTGAGACCAGTTCCTCTATTTCCTCTTTGTGTGTCCTTAGGTGAAGTCGCAGGAGCTGGTATGGGCAGCATCATGTCCACCCTGACTGACAAGGCAGTCGTGAGGAAGGAGCTGCTGTGTGATGTGGCTGGGAGTGACAAGTACCAGGTCAACAACAAACATGACAACAAGTACTCACCACTGCCTCCAAGCAAAATTGTGCAGCGGGCAGAGGAGCTGGTGGGGCAGGAGGTGTTATACAAGCTGACCAGCGAGAACTGTGAGCACTTTGTGAACGAGTTGCGCTATGGAGTTGCCCGCAGTGACCAGGTCTGTCCCCAGCACGTGTCTCCTTCCCCAAGAGCCAGATGATAGTAACTGGGCACCACAGTGGATGTAGATAGAGGCAGGAAAAAAATAACACAGGTGTGAATTCTGTGCTTGAGGCTGTCACAGTCAGGGTGGGGAGACAGGCAAGTTGCCAATGTGGATCAGTGCAGTTAGGGAGGCAATGGCCAAGGAAGAGAGCCATAGCCATGAGGGCTAGGCCTATTGCTGAGCCCCCCATGGTCACCCAGTCTAGATGACCCAACTTAGATTCAATGTAGGCTTTATTATTTCTACTTAATAGATGGTGAAACTGAGGCTCCCAGGGCTTATGTAACCTGCCTATGGCCATTCATTCGTTCAATACATATCTATGGAGTCTCCAGACCTGTATGTATATATTTTGTTCAATGAATGATGAAATTAGGATCTGCTAGTTTGTTTACTTTTAATTTTTTATTAATTTTAATGAGAAAGAAGTAGCAATGAGGCAGTTTCAAAACAGATTAGTAGAACAATTATAATAATTCATACATTGCATATTGTTGTCTTTGTAGTATTCAGAGTATAAGATGCAGACATGATATTTTGTCTAAACAATATTAGTACAAATCTTTCTTCTCATTGAACTAAGAAAAAGTAGCTGTATGTCTATCCTATTTTGTATATACATATATATATTTTTTCATTACATAATGGTCCTTCATTTATATCCCCCTTTTTTGCTTTGTTTTGTCAGAGATGAGTGTTCCATTGTTTTTAGAGAAGCTGTATTTATTTTTATTTATTTATTTATTTATTTATTTTTTATGAGCAGAATATATTGAGAGAAAGAAAGCTCCTGAGAGAGGGACAGGAGTGGGGGTGGGGGTGGGGTGAGCAGGTGGATCCCCCAGGAAGTTGTCTCTTGCAGAGACTTTTATAGAGGAAAACCACATGGTGAGGCGGGTCTAAAGTGGTGAAGACATGGGAACTGCTTAGTTGGGCATGAGGTGGGATAAAACTATGGTCGACCAATGAGATTACAGGCACCATTGCTCAGGTAAAATTGATTAAATCCAGTAACAAATGGGAAAGTGACTCATGTAGCAAGTGGGCACGAATAAGGAACAGGATCTCTTCCTGTTGGGGGTTGGGCTAATGACTCATTTGGGCTCTTTCAAGTTGATTGATACTGTTTAGTATATCAATCCCTAACGCCCATCCCTAGGGAAGTATGTAGCTGTGTTTCCTCTTTCTTTTGTCTTGGTCTTGAGATGTGGCCCACATGGGAGTGTCTGTCTCTTCCAAAAGTTATGATGTCACCTTGTCTTCCATCTTGTCTCCTTGAGGGCCTGACCCTGTCTAACTGCCTATAATATTTCTATCTAACTCAGCTGCCTACAACATTCCCCCCTCTGAAGAAGTAACCTGAACTGCCATGAGGGGACTCTGGGCGATGACCACTCTGGCTTCTTCAAGCTGAAATGGGTTGTAGTTGTTGACCGGCAGTCAGATATATTATTCAGAGGTTCTATCTAAAGGCCCTCAATAGACACCAGGCATTTTTATTACAGCTTTGAATTTCCATTCAGTGATCTCGGTGGAAACCTCCAAAATGATATAGGGAAGAAAAACTGGTCTCGGGTGGGTGACCTCCAAACAATATAGGGAACCTCCAAATGACATAGGGAAAAATGATCTCTAGACCTGACCTGCATGAGTTCATGTTCTCTAAAACCGAAGAATTAATTTTAGGAACAAACGGAGGTTATGAGCA